TAAGATTTGGGTCAACTTACCATAGAATTAAAACCAATTTTAATCTAATTGTCTCTATGGTAAGTTTAAGTAGAACATAGATCAAGCTACCCAGTAAAAGCATTAGGTTTACTTTCCGCCCGATATATTTATTTGTACTTTGGCCCTGACGTCTCCTATTTCAGTTTTCAAACCAACTCAAAATCGAAATCATGTACAGTCCACTGAAAGACATGAAATGGTAATAAGCTGCAGTTTCAAATTGCACCAAGTCAGCATAGCACTATGGAATTACTGACAACCAAACAAAAAAAAAAAAAAATATGCAACGACGAAGAGGCCCAACTGCACAACCGGCAACACAGTGAGTTGTAGATCTACGCCGATCTTTACAATACTGACAACTTCTAAACACCCCGACTTTTCCATGTATGCGAAACATTCAAACCAGACCACTGCGGCCACCACACCAACATCCAACACTTCTACCTTACTAACCCTAAGCCCAAGTATAACACTGAGCCTAAATAAGCCAAAACAACCAAAGTAAAAAACTAATAAAAACCCTTCGACTAACACTTTATAACCTCAAACCTAACAAGCCCAAACCAAGCTGTGATTCCTAAACCCAAATCTAGACACAAATTCCAGGACCAAGCCCAACGCTTAGCACAACCCTATTTCCAAGACCAGGATTAAACCTAATCGTAAGCCCACCCTGTCGCGTGAAGCGAATTTAAAAAGGCGCCTACCCTCAGGGAGGAGAAAAGTGGTCGATTGGCCAAAGGTGACATCATATATTCTTCATTATGAGCAATGTAGTGTCATTGTATATTTTGATGTTTCGCGGATAAGACTTTTTTCAGCTCTCGTATTTATCTTTCTTCTTGTTTCTTTTGGTAGCTTTTGTCTATACGAATTTTACTGATTTTAACTTCAATGCTACACTTTATCTTTTATGATTTTGATCTTGCAATTGTACGAATTTTGTTTGTTTATTCTAAGGTTTAATTGCCCAAGTTTGAGGTTTGGCGTCCCTTCCTGGTGCTTATTATTCATCGAGTTCATTATTTTCCAATAAATTAGTTATTGAATTTGATATTTCATTGGGTTTTTGAGATAGTACTTCCTGAATTCGTTTCATTGTCAATTGGGACAAATATTGCGGCGACTCTTCGGTTGGTCCACTACCCCGTTAGAAATCTTCGCTTCAGTCTAAGAATCCAGTAAGTTATTGAATTGATTCTACATTGGACTAATGAGATAGTAATTCTGGTTCTATTTCATTGTCAAGTGGGACAAATATTGCGACGGATCTTCCGTTGGTCCACTACCCCACTAGGGAATCGGCAAAACAAGGAATTTTTTCTCTATACCCCCCTTCCCTCCCTCCCGGAACTAACCCTAAGATTAACTACAAGCACAAGCCTCAAGACTAAGTCTAAATCCAACATTGAGCCTAAACTGAAGACCAACTCTAAGCCGAATTCCTACGACTAAGTCAGGGTACAGCTCCTTTAGTTTGGTAGCCTCAGTTCCACACAGCCAATGAAGCCGAAGAATGCTAATCGCAAAAAAAACAGGTCCCTTTAATCAGGACCGAGAAAAGCAACGAGCCCATAAAAACAAACCAAAATCCTACAGTTGACGCCAAGCGCGAACTTAAGCGACACGCACCGGCCTGCCGAGCTGCTAATCAAAAGAACGAGCGAAAATTCTGGAACATATAACACACTAACTCGTCCACCCAGACAACTCACCTCAGCGGATGGCACAAAGCAGTCAGATTAGTTGGCTCACCTTCAGACCAACTTTCGCTTCCAAGTCACAATTAATTGCTAAGCCTGTTGTGTAACACAACTTGACTTCGTCCTCCTCGTTCCCTTTTTAAA